CGGTATGAGAAAGAAGCATCCAATTTCCACTGTTCAAATACAGCCAGGGAGCAGACACATTCAGTGACACTCGGAGACACCCCATGAGAGTGGCGTAAGAAAAGTGAGGAGAGGGGCCGCTTAATGGCAAGCAACAAAGCAAGCAAGCAAGCAAACAAACAAACACACAAACAAAAGCCCTGCACATGGGTCAGATGGGTGGAGGGTGAGAAATGGTCACAGGAGATAGTAGTGTCGGTGATTGCAGACCTCAAGAAGATATTTCAGGGGAGGCCAGTTAGGGAAACAATCCCTTACTGGAGTTGGCTTGAAGGAGTGTGAGGAAAGCCACCAAATCAAGTGACAGCAATGCTGGCGAGGATGTGGGGAAAAAAAAATTAACCTTTGCTCACTGCTTCAGTCATTACGGAAATCGGTATGATGGTTTCTCAAAGGCTAAAAATGGAACTAACATGTGACCAATCTATATCACTTCTGGGCATATACCCAAAGGAATCTATGCACCACTACAAAAATTCTTGCTTATCCACACTTAGCTATGCACAATAGCTAACAAATAGAACCAGCCTAGCTGTCCATCAATGGATGAATGAATAATGAAAATGCTGTGTCATATACAATGGAATTTTGCTGAGCTGTACATAAAATTGAAATTTGAATGCCAACAGATGGACCTAAGAAAAAAAGTACTCTGAGTGAGGTACCCAGACCCAGTATACATGTTCTTTATCCTATGTGAATCCTAACTTCCACTCTTTATATCTGTGTGTTGAACTTGGAGCTCCTATTGAAAGCCAGGAAAACAGAAAGGAGCTACTGGGTGGTGAATACTTTAAGAAAGTGGAGTTAGGCAGATGAGGGCAGAGTACGGGAGAGATAAAGAATTAATTGGGTTTGGGGGTTTGGGGGTTTGGGGGCAATAGGAGGGAAAGGGGTCATATGAAATCAAAACGAAGAACATATGAAAAAAGTCATAGGGAAACCTACTATCTGCAAGTTGATTATAAATATAAACTAAAATGTAAGAACTAGACGAGCTCTTTTGCTTGACCGGATAGCACGACTCCTAGAAGTCATGGATTATTAAACAAAACCCACAGGAACAGCTATGTTGTTTTTATGAGTTTTTCTTTACTTTTTCTTTTTTGGTTAAAGGGTACCCAGAGGCCCTTAAAATTGCATGTTCTTGTTATTCTTCTTGGTCGTCCACCAGAATGAAATGATAAGACACCACATACCTTGGTTATAAGATATAGAGAAGTTAATGCAGAACTGAGCTGAAAAACCTGTCTCCTTCTGCATTAGCTTTCATAATGCTGAAAGGTGCTATGTAGGTAGTAGGGAAGAAAAGGTATTGGCAGTCTTATCCACCTGTGAGTCCTATGAACTACAAACCAACCCAGGCAAGATATGTCCACTGCTACAATAGTGCCTCAACCATTAAGGCAGCAACCAACAGCTCTCTTAATGGTGGTTTTCCATTAAGAGGAACATTCTGCAGGAAGGAATTCATGTCTGGTGTTGAAGTCACAGGAAAACCTATGCCTGTGGATGTCATGAGCCCTAGGAGGGAATCAAATACCATCATTTAGCTAAATGTACATGACATCAAACTACAATCGCTACTCTTAGCTTAATCAGAAAACTGTCTCTTTACAGTGAATGGTCATAATACAGAGACTCTTGGCTGCCCAGTGTACTGAGAAGGGACAATTGATTGTACAACGCTATATAACAGGACATTTATGCCATCAAGTCTAGGCTCAGGAGTATCAGAGGAGATGTGGCAAAAGAACTCAAGGACCAGAAGAAAGGGAGAAGGGCAGTAGGGTGCTATTCTCTAGGCATGCCACAGGCATTCAGTCATGAATTCACAGAAGCTGCTCTTCCATGCAGTGGCAAGGCTAATGGAGCAATACCCCTCCATGCTGTACTACTTGGCCATTAATGGATTCTGGTGGAAAGGGAAGCTATTAACTTCAGACATACCCACACTGATAAGCCCACCAAACTCCACAGGATAGTTCCATACCTGTGAACATAAGATGGGCCTGGTTAAGTCCAGCAGGTCACAAAGCAAAATGAAAGAGAAATTAAAATTGGAAATGGAGCTGCAGGGTGGAGGAGGTGTTGGCAAGGTTGGTGAGGTCAGAGAGTAGCCAGAATGCACTGTATACAGTCACGGAGTTGTCAATTAATCCTCCGAGCTTATTTTGGTTGTTGTGATAAAATATGGAGATATAAAGCAACATAAACGAGGAAGAGGTTTATTTGACTTGTAATCCAATTTATTGCCTATCATTTCAGGGAAGTTAAGGCAGGAATGCAGGCAGCTAGTCATATGGCAGTCACAATCAAGAGCTAAGACAGAATACATTTTTGCTTCCCTGATTGCTCTCAGCTAGCTTCCTCCTTCCTCATCTTGTTCAACTGCCTAGGGAATGATGCTGTCCACAGTAGACTGGGCCATCCTACATCAATTAACAGCCCCGTGTAGACATGCTCACAGGCCAACCTCATTTAGATAATTCCTCAATAACACTCTTTTGCCAGGTGATTTTAAGTTGCATCAGGTTGACAATTAGAACTAACCATCTCAGAGAACAAATTTAGTTAATGAAAATATAATATATGAATAGAAGAGGTCCATTTTAAGAGTCCTATAATAAACCAGACAAGGGCAATAGATACAGGGGAGGGTGTTTTTCATTTTCTATTTTTGTTTTTTTTAGAAAGAAGGTATTTCCAGGATGTTTTTAGTATAAGATCCAGATAAACAAACTTCACTGAAACAGTACAGAGAAATAGAATTGCCAAAGGGGAATGAAATCATTCTTTGAAACTTGAGTGGAAATAGGATCTAAGCCTCCTGGGAGGAAAGATGTGGGAAAGACCACAGGTTTACACAACTAGAAAAAGGGAGGGCAAAAGAAGGACTAAAAGGGTTGAAGTCGGTGGTGATAACCTTTCAATGTTTCCATTTTCTCAGGGATGGAAGTTTCAGGAATGAGTTCAAAACAGAAATAGAAGAATAGCACTCTGAATGCAATAGACAAGCCTGTGAGGAGACCAGTGAGCACTCCTGGCCCACACAACAATCAGAGAATAAGAGTGAGTCTATGTCGGCTATACCACTTGCTTATGTGCGTAGAAAAACATGTGTCTGAGTAATATGGAGGAAGGTAGTCCAGGTTTTATGCAATTATGGTCTGTTTTGGACCTTAATATGCGACCTTCATCTCCTGTGTTTGGTGTAAGCAGAGACAGACATGTTCACCAACCAAAATGGAAATGCATTTTGCTGATCAGTTCAAGCAGCAACTTCCTTAATCTCAGTTAATTATTCTGAAAGACATCCCAAAGGAAATCATGAAGCATGGAGCACTCCTATAATTTGTCAACTGAAATATAGATGGGAGTTCAACTAATGAACCAGCTTAACCTGATTGAAGTGAGCAAGGCCTCTCAGTGCATGCAAAATTTCAGTTGAATCTTGTTAAGCTGGACTGTGGGGAGACGGCAAGCCCAACATCCCCAGGTGAATGTTGAGAAGACCATCATGTACAGATTGCCGAGTCTAACGACACATCTGGAAAATGGGCTGGACGGCGAGCATACGCTCTGGGAAACTGTGAAGAATAGCCTCGCTCAGAATAGCAACTAAGATTATCTCTCCGAAAAAGTTACACATGTGCAGCAACTATGCATAGCAGACCGGTGAAAGACGAAACCTTCGGAGGGACAGAAGTACCACAAAGGAGAAGGACGCTATTGTGTTTCAGGTTTTCATAATGTAAATACATCCATTCATCCCACCTACAATCTACAAACAGCACATTCTCAGAAACTGCCATGGCTTGGATGTGGTTTATCCCTATCAAAGTCTATTGCCCAATGTAATCATACCAGAAGTGGGAGGGTGATTTTAAGAGGTGACTGAGGCAGGGCCCCTTTGTGAAGGGATCATGCAAGTCTTATGGAGGATTAGTTCCCGAGAGCAGTCTGTTACAAATGGGCAAGCTTGGGACCTCTCCACTTTCTTACTGATTCTCTTAACACATGGTACTCTGCCCATTGCCCTTTGTCTCCAATCCCATGAACGTTCCACACAGCTTCATGTATCAGGTTCCCATCTAGCCAGGGGATCCTTGTCAGATTCTTGCACTATTTGTTCTTCTAGAACTAGAATTACGAGTCAAATAAGCTTGCTTTCTTCATAACTTACCCAAACCAGGCCATCCTGTTATAGGCCACAGGGAGTGGGCTAAGATACTAATTACAAAGCAATATTAACTGATATTATAGTACAATATTAATAAATAGTAACAAGCAATATTAATAAATTATGCATGTCTAAATACAAATAATATTATATTCCAAACACTGTTCTGGGTGCTTTGTTTTATATCAGTTTATAACATGCTTACAAAAACTTCTTGAGGCCTGAACTATTACAATCACTTTATAAATGAGGCATCAGAGGCACAGAGGAATTAGTAATTTTCTAGGGGTCACACAGATGCTGAGAAAAACTAACAAGATTTGACTTAGGCGCTCTAACTCCAGAGGCTGTGCTTTTAATCATTGCATTCCATCGTGTCTGATGGGTGGCAACAGAAACCACAGTGGGCTTCTTTTGGAGGCAGAATCTCATAGGTTTATTTTAAATACTATCTGAATAATATAAATGGGGAAAATGTGAAATAGTTCGAGATAGTTGATAATTAGGATGTTAATTAATGAGAATGTCTTAAAAATTCAAATTCAGTTACTGTATTCACTCATTCAAATATATATATTTGATATATATTTGAATACATCAAATACAGGCTTTAGTTTAGGTCACAGCAATAAGGCAGTTTGGAAAAGGCAAAACCATGTGTTCTCTAGAGGCTTATATTCTTGTCAGGGAGAAACTGACAGAGACGGAAACTACCAGGCAATAAATGCTATAAGGAAAAAGTCAGCAGAATGAGAAGCATCTTTTAGAATGCAGGTGGGTGCTTGCTGCGGCAGCACATACACTAAAATTGGAATGATACAGAGAAGGTTAGCATGACCCCTGCACAAGGATGACACACAAGTGTTTGAAGCATTCCATATTTTTAGAAGACATTTCATATTAGTCACAGGAAAAACTCCATCAAGAGAAAATCTTAATACTGAATGTCTATACCCAAAATACAAGGGCACCCTCATATGTAAAAGAAACACTACTAAAACTTAAATCACACATTAAACCCCACACACTAATAGTGGGAGACTTCAAAACTCCCCTCTCACCACTGGACAGGTCTGTCAGACAGAAAATCAGTGAGATGTTATGACTCAAATGGACTTAACAGACATCTATAGACTATTCCATCCAAACATATAAGAATATCCCTCTTCTTAGTCCCTCTGGAATCTTCTCAGAAATTGATCACATACTAGGTAACAAAGCAAACCTCTACAGATTAAAAAAAAATTGGAATAACCCCATGTATCTTATTGGATCACGTAGGCTTACAATTAAAATTCAACAGCAACACCAATTTCAGAAAGCCCACAGACACATGGAAATTAAACAATGCTCACCTGAATCATCAATAGGTCAAGAAAGAAATAATGGAAGAAATTAAAGACTTCCTAAAATTCAATGAAAACAACCACACAACATACCTATATTTATGAGATACAATGACAGCAGTGTTAAGGGGAAAGTTCATAGCACTAAATGCCTACATAAAGAAGCTGGAAAAATCTCACACTAGTGAGTTAACAGAACACCTGAAAACTCTAGAACAAAAGAAAGCAAACTCACCCAGGAGGACTAGATGACAGGAAATAATCAAACTGAGACCTGAACTCAACAAAATAGAAACAAAGAAAACAATACAAAGAGTAAATGAGACAAAGAGTTGGTTCTTTGAGAAAATCAATAAAATAGACAAACCTTTATCCAAATTAACCAAAAGGCAGAGAGAGAATATCCAAATTAACAATAATCAGAAATGAAAAGGGGACATAACAACAGACACGGAGCAAATACAGAGGATTATCAGGTCATGTTTTGAAAACTTGTACTCCACAAAATTGAAAAACTTAAAGGAAATGGACAACTTCCTGGATAAATATCACTTACCAAAATTAAATCAAGACCAGATAAGTAAATTAAATAGACCTATAACTGATAAAAAAAATAGAAACGATCATCAAAAGTCTCCCAACCAAGAAAACTCCAGGGCCAGATGATTTCAGCACGGAATTCTATAAGATTTTCAAAGAAGACCTAATACCAATACTCCTCAAATTGTTCCACACAGTAGAAACAGAAGGAACATTGCCAGCCCCAGAAAGACAAGTATCATATGTACTCACTCATAAGTGGCTTTCAGACATAAATCAAAGAAAAACCAGCCTACAAATCACAATCCTAGAGACCCTAGACAGCAAAGAGGATCCTAAGGGAGACATGTATAGATCTAATCTACTTGGGAAGTAGAAAATGACAGGATCTCCTGAGTAAATTGGGAGAATGGAGATCATGGGAGATGGTAGAAGGAGAGGAGAGGGGAAGGGAGGGGAGAGAAGGAAGGGGAGAGGAGGAGAGGGGAGGGGAGGAGAGGGAAGAAAATATATTGCTCAATGAAACAATTTTTTTTAAAAAAAGAATGCATGTGGGGGGGATGAGGAACCACCTCCTTGATCAGAGAACACTTGAGAAGAAATCTGAAGGACAGGGCACCTTACGAGAGTGGCTCCTTCCAGGAACGAAGAGCCAAGCTCCCAAAGAGTTTAGCAACAGAAAATTTAGCCTTGGTCTATGTGACATGAACAGACTTAAGCTGGTGGAATTTGCCTACTGGTCAGTACTCTGAACAGATCTGAGCATCTTTATGAGTAAGAAAAGAGAAAAATATAATCTAGACATCATGAAAAATGCCAAAAGATGTGTTTACTACATAGCCAGGCCTAGTAGCTCAGATCTGTATTGCAGCAACTCAGGAGGCTGAGGCATAGGACTGTAAGTTCAAAGCTATTTTAGGCAGCACAGTGAGTCCAAGGATAGACCAGGAAACTTAGTAAGAGCATGTCTCAGTGAAAACAATTGTAGAATAAAGGTTGAAGATGTGCGGTTCAATAGTAGGGCAGTTGCCTAGTATGTACCAAGCCCTGCATCCAATTCCTACTTACTGGAAAAATAGAAAGAAAAACATATTTCTGATTTTTTAAATCTCAATAAAAAGGGTTGTGTCTTTGGAAAATGAACACAAATTTCCACAAATCCACATGATACGGTCATTGCCATGTCCAATCAAGCAGGCCAGCCTTTCACATTGTTTTTTACAAATACACCACCGACAGACTTGTTGGACATCAACTCATGATACACTCTGATTTAGACGACCCAAGCAGTCTAAGACACAAAGACTATGTTAGATATCCTGGAAATCCTAGTTTCGCTTTACATGCTAACGGTAATATTCTATGAATGAACTGAAATGCCATGTCTGATTGAATTGGTTTTTATTCGTTTTTAGGTGAGACAATACATTTTTATTTACTATGTAAACATCTTTGAGTCATTGAGTTTTCATATTCTGTTTTGGTTGATTCTCCCATCCCATCTCTCTGCCTTCACCCCTTTTCTTGGTATTCATTTTTTTCGATATTATTCTCCCTTCTGTTTTGTTCTGTTGTCTTTCCCAACCCATCCCTTACTCTCTTAAAAGTTTTGTATTTTATCCAGTCATAGGCCCTTTCCAACTTTCCTGGTCTTTACCCATTTTACCACCATATTCACCATAATTTTGTTTTCTATCTCTCTATATTTGATTTTCAGAAACATTCCACCTTAAGGAATCTTGCGCATGTCCTTTCTGTGCCTGGCTTGTCCCACTTAGCATGATATTCTCCAGGTTAAACCACCCTATGGAAAACATGCATTTACCTTTGTATGAATATATATAATAGTATATATAATAGTTATGATATAGATTTACATGCACAAAAATTTATTTTTAAAATAAATTTACTCATGAATTTATACTGAGGTTTATTCTTAGAATACATTTTAATATTCCAAGGGTTTTTCTTAGTAATCATAAAGCAGACCAGACTCATGCAACTTCCTCATAAGTCAACAAATCCAGACACATGGAATACCTCACTGGGTTCAATGACAGTATTTTAAATGTTTTACTTAGAAGCAGTATTATGAAGGTGTTAGTTTTCAGTAACACTCACGTTAACCATAATATAAATGAACTTAATTTTATTCATTAGCATTTGATGATTCTTAGAAAAAAATATTTGTTGTCAAGTTTATATGGTCATGAATGAACAACTATTAATTTTAGGCAAAAGGTGTTTATTCTCTGAGGTCTGATTTTAGTGACTCCTCTTTTATGGAGCAGTGGTACAAGATGGCTAATCTATACCTGGTTGCCCTCTCTCATGATATTAGGAGATAATCCCTCAAAGAAAAACATTTTCTAAATCTATTTCTGAAGACAGACTAGAACCAGTTCTACACAGTCTACGTGCACCATCTCACCTAGATTCTACTCTTAACCATGCTACATATGCTACAGTTCTTACATTTTAACATGAAACACAAGGGCAAATATGAAAAGAAGAAACCCTACTCCTCAGGAGGTTAAGGTCTAAAAATCCTGAATTTAAGTCTCGTTCCATTATGGAAGTAAGACTAACCCCCAAAACAACAACAAGACAAATTGCAACAGGTAAATGCAAACAGGAGGCTGTGTTCTTTTAAAAGGCTCATAAGACAGACTACAAAGACAGTGATGGCACTGGGTTTTAATCCCAGCACTTGGGAAGTAGAGCAGGTGGCTCTCTGTAAGTTCAAGGCTAGCCTGGTCTACAAAGCAAATTTCAGGACAGCCAGAGCTGTTACATAGAGAAACCCTGTCTTGGAATAACCCCACCCCAGCAAAGAATAGCAGTTACCATTTCATCATTATATTGTCAGTTATAATAGAAGTTTCCAAACAATTGGGGGTGGGTTGCTGATCATGATGTCACACACATGTCTCTTTTGAGTATGGAGGTAATTATGCTCTCTCTTAGATTTCCCTGCAGATGTTCTAGTTAATATAGGCACACTCCTTTAGTTTGCTGTGGCCACCAAGGACAGCATAATCCTTACAGTAGTGTTTGTTATTTTATTGCCTGACAACAAATTTCACTTTCTATTTTTGCCTCAGGAAAAAAAAAATACAAAATTGATTATCTATGGTCAATCTGTTGGAAAATTGGCTATGGAAAAGGAAGGACTATTCAATCACTGTGGAAGCTTTACTGGCTAATCAAATTTATGTTCTTCCTAACAGACACTCTCCTTCCCATTATCCTTTCCTTCTCTGGCAAAGAAAGCCCATTACTGGTTTCTCTGTTCTTCTCCTGGAAACCTAAGGGGCAGTGAAGAAGGTAACCTCACCTTAGCACAAGGGATGACGTCTAAGGAGAGATCAATCAAACTTGTCACCAGCCCATTGGCCAAAATGGTTTTATGTTTCAGGGTGAAGCTAATCAAGAAGACTAGACAGACTCTCCATTTAGTTGGACTGTTTTTTTATTCTAGAGGGACTTTTGCTTCAAGGTGATGAGAGATTCTCTCCCTGTGTCTTTGAATTCTGCCCATTTTATGTCAAGTAAGGTTGGGGCTGGGCAGGAAGTGTAACGCCTGCTACTGCCTGTGCTCATCTGACAGGAGAAGTTGCTTTGAAAATAAGCTGACATTTCAGAAGGTCCTTGGCTCTACCCACTTAGAGACTCTCTACTTTCTCCTACCTTCCTATAAAAGACAAAATTGTTTCTTTATAGTTAAAGTCAGTTTGTGAGGTGAGATTCTACAAATGACAGACGAAAACAGTTCAGCTCTCTCAGTAGCTTATAACAAGCAAAAATTTTAAAGCATCCTTCCTTAATCTTTTTCAGAGTTCTCCTCTATGATAAGACTATGTTAAGTTATGTTTCTGATGTTCAACCTCGAGATCAAAGGAAAATTGCATAAAATCTGAAAGCAAACAGAGAGGATCCTTCCAGCCTGCAGCAGTTATAAATGCCAGGGCTTTAATCTACCAGGGGAACACAGACTGGATCCTTAGCTTCGGTTTCCACTCAACATTCAGTGACCCTTTTATAAACCATCTCCAGTCTTGAAGTCCACCCTTGACTCTTCATCCCTCGGTAGCCATTGGCCTGTTGCTTGATTCCCATTTTCAGCAAAATTTCCAAAACTAGCTGTCTGAACCTTCTCTCCCCTGTGTTTCTAATTCTGGCAGGCTTCTCTGAGATGGCTCTCAGCACTGTGGCCTCCATTTTGACAAATCCAGTGAGCACACTGGTGTCTTTCGTGGACTCAGCTTCCTTCTTGAAAAGGTTTATCTTCTAGACGTCCCTGGTACTTTCATGAGTCTTGCAATTCACAGATTACTCACAATAAAGCTGTAGGCTGATCTCAGAGTGTAGCTATGTCCCCTCTGCTGCTCATGAACTCACACCACCTGTGCCCACAGAAGCCTTTATTTTTAGCACTCCCTTTTCCTACCATTTCTATGCTCATAATTTCCGGTTCTCTACCTCTGACCAGTTCTTTCTACTGAGCTCAAGGCAGACACATGTAAACACCTACCTAAGAATTCAGCTAGATGCCCCATGGCATTAAGTTTTTAGAATCACTACACGAGACTGTGACCCGCTTAGCTTAAATCCTTCAGAGCCCTCCCCAGCTGATAGGGCACCGGAATACGCCTGTTAGTTAAAGCATCTTTGACTTCCTCCATCAAAATATATCCTCAATGTGGTGACTCATCACCTGTCTGGCAGCTCTCAATAGGGCTCCCTCACTGCAGAGACTTCTCACTTCCTTATTTTCTCAGTCAATTTTTTTTTCACCCTTGGGGTCTTTATCCACACAGAAGACAGAATTACCTCTTTAAAATGTTTGTGGAGCTGAAAGGATGGCTTAGCCATAAAGAGAGTATGCTGCTCTTGCAAAAGACTTGATTTAGGTCCTCAGAATCCATGGTGGAAGGTTCACAATTACCTGTAATTCCAGATCCAGGGGATATGACTCCTCCATCTGGCCGCCACTTTGGGCTCTGCGCGAGCATGCGCGCGCGCACGCGCACACACACACACACACACACACACACACACACACACCATTTAACAAATAAATCTTTTATACAAACATAGGTTTTAATTCTTGCTGAATAGCTATCAGTGAGTGTCCTTGGTCCTTGGACTAATATCTCATATTACTTGTTATAGCCCAGAAAACTATGTGAAAGTTCCTTCTGCCATCATTTCTGGCATCTTCTTTCTACTTCATTCATTCGGTTTCAATTATACTGGATTTTTCTTTTATGCAGTAGCCTCTCTTCCATCAGTTTCTTTTTACTTACTATTCTTTCTACTTAGCACAATACCTTTCCATAAATGGATCAAATACATCATTCAAGTCTCAATTTAAATGTTGTTTAGACACTGTTCTATTGTTGCAAAGAGACAGCATGACCAAGGCAACTCATAAAAGAAAGCATTTAACTGGGAGCTTGCTTACAGTTTCGGAGGCTTAATCCAATATCATCATGGCAGGGAGCATGGCAGCACACAGGCAGACGTGGTACTGGAGAAGTAGCTGAAATCTACTTCCTGATCTCCAGGCCGAGAGAGACACTGCACCTGGTGTGGGTTTCCAAAACTTCAAATCCCACCCCCCAGTGACACACTTCCTCCAACAAAGCCACATCTACTGCAATAAGACCACACCTTCTAATCCCTTTAATCCTTTCTAATAGTAACACTCCCTGGTGACCCAGCATTCAAATATATGGGCCTATGTGGGCTATTCCTATCCTAAACCACCACAAATGTCATGTTTTTATAGGTGCTGTTCTTGATCCTTCCATCTAAAGGAGTTCTTAATGTTACTGTATGTTTTATCTTCAGCATGGGGCCTAGCTCCTTCAACAATAATCTCCTTTGTTTAACTGTTTGTGGTCCCTTGGTTCACTCAGCACCGGGAACAGACTCTGACTGCTGATAGTATGTGCTCACCACACTGAATTGTTCTTCTACCTGGATTCTTCCAGGGGCTACCTGTCTGGCTTTTCTAACACATCCATACTAAGAAATTTTATCGAGGGGAGCTTGGGTCTGAGGTCACCCACGGGGCTTTCTGATGTGCCTCCTGGCTCGCTTTTCCTGTCCTCTCTGAGAGTTGTCCTTTGCTGCAGTCACACAGAATCACTTTCCAGTCACACATGTGCTTCACCTTCCTTGTCTCCTTGCCATTTGGCTGTTCTGTTTCCCATGAATCACAGCCAGCTGACCCTTCCAAATTGGTCACACGCTTCTTTATCAAATTAGCCAGTAACTCCACTATTTCTAGCTCATGCCTCCTTAATTGTTTTCTTCTCAGACTGTGATTATATACTTATAATCATGTCTCCCAATTAGAATCATTAACAATTCTTATTCATATTCATCATTAAACTGGAAGCTGACAGCAGGCAGGCATTCAATAAATGTATTGAACTGAACCACTGCCATACGAAAATATAGAACATCAACTACTTTCCTTCAAATGAATGAAATATAAGGAAAATAATGTATTATATTATTAAAAAGCTATATTATCAGCATCACAGAATGGTATTTATATTGTAAGTTTTGTTCACATTCTCATTCTTAAAAATTATAAAAACTGGCTGGGTGGTGGTGGCACACGACTTTAATCCCTTGGGAGGCAGAGTCAGGCAGATCTCTGTTAGTTTGAGGCCAGCCTGGCCTACAAGAGCAGAGAAAAAATCATAAAAACTAGAAGCCTGAAGTGTTAGTAACTTCCCCAAAGTTATAAAACTATTAAGCTGACTGTTGAGAAATCAAATACAGTATCTTTAGCGAACCAAGGCCAGCTAGACTCCCATGCAGTAGACAGGATCATCAGGACCAGTCTCACTTAAAAGAACCATATGATCTGTCACTCCAAGTACTACACAGACTCTGGTCTGTAGAAGTGATCAGATTGGAAGGATGAGTCACCCAGTTACACCCCAGTCTCAGAAATTTTTTCTCTGAGGGCCTTTGCTTTCGGACCTGAGCAGAGGTAAGAGTATTTCTGGTTTTCTCAGCTAAGGGCACACTAATCAGAAGTCATCATTAGCCCCCAAAAGTCACACTCCTTCAAAAACCATCAAACTCAGACGTGAAGTTTGTCCAAATGCCATTTCCTACCTTGGGCATGCATATCAGCAAATGTCCTGTTGTTTGAGACCTTTTAGCGGAGCTCTTGTCAGGCTGGACCTCTGCAGAAAGGACAAGCTGAAACGGCTGGAGGTGAGAGCACCAGGGGGAATAGAGAACAAAGGTATCTTAAAAGGAAAGTCCACCTCAAGGGACAATCTCACCGTCAATTCATCACACACTGTTACATTAATAAAGCTGATCAGAAGCACTTGAACATGCTATATATGCCATTCCTGATATGCTTGGTTTATGTGCAATCTAAAGAGTATTCACCAGCCACAATCAGTGAAGTCTTCATGAGACCACGTAGGGTAGAAGGGTCACTTGTAGATAAAACATCAACCTATTTCTATTTTAATGTCTCTCTGGGCTAACCCAAATGAATGCTCAGAATTGGAAAAAATGCTATTACATAATGATCAAAGTATAGTTTCCATGAATGAACTCACTGACCACTTAGAATGGACATTCAATTGAACTTTATGGCCATGATATGAACTTTGGAAGATTACAGTGCACCAGATGCAGGTTTAAAGCATCCATATTTCTGAGATACCGGAAGGTAACAGCCATCCCCACTGTATAACATCCCTGTGGTATAAAACCACACACCTAACAAACAGCACACTGGCTCGGTTTCTAGTTTTTCTAATTAGGTAATACTTTTTAAAAACTGGGACCACACAGCTTAGGTCAAGACTTATCTCTTAAAAGAACAATATTCCACAGTTATGCATACCTTTCCTTTGACCATTACTCGAACATACGTGGGCTGCACATCAACATCAATTAATGAGGTATCCATGTACCTTAAAAATTAAGTATATCAGATCTAGTAATTGTTAAAAAAACATTCATTTCAAAGCAGTAAAACATGAAAGCATGCTTGCAAGATCATTTTAGATGAAGAAAGTTTTAAATGTCCATGCTAAACTGGTCCTAAAATACCAACCTTAAATTCTGCCTAGTCCAGAGGAAACTCAACATATCAGCAATTTCATTTTTAGACATACAAGTACACTTGGCATTGATTGCCCCAGCTCAAAAATATCTGAGGTCTGAAATGCCAGAGGTTTTCAAAAGAAATGGTTTGTCATATTCTTCCATGAATATTTTATTGAAGCCCCTAGGATGTCAGCAGCCTGTGGTGCTGATCCACCAGCTCTGCTTTCTAGATGCTCTGTACCCTACAGCTGTTACACAGGTGCACAGGACCTTCACCGCTGGGGCGGTGGCTTCTTGCCCTAGACGGTAGAAGCAGCTGAACTACAGTGCCTTCCAGGGACAGCAGCCACCCAAGGCCAGGCTGCTTTATTTTTCCCAGCCAGATTTTACACCCCATGTTAAAATAGGTTTAGTCCAGTAACTATATCTTAAAAACCGATTATGAATATAAGGAAACGGGGCAATGATTCACAATTAAGATGGGGGAGGGGCTCATCCAGGGAGCTGTGATGAGGATAAAAAGCCCAAGCTTTGGACTCATACAGGTTTGTGAGGAATCCACTCCTCTGATTCCTGTTTCATGGCCTTGGACCGCATTCCCGAGTTCTTGTTCAGTCTGTTCCTTCCTCTGCACAGCAAAGAGCACCCTGCCCTCTAAAAGTGCTCAGAAGGCACACAAGCAGTGTTCCTCAGACAGTTCATGCTAATAGAGTATTATGTTATCAGCTCTTAAATAATAAGAATGAAAAACAGACAGAGTTCTCTCCCATGCTTGAAATTCCCATGTGTTCACCTGCTCCTGCCTATAAGACCTTTGTTTCTTACCAGTTTTTTCTGGGGCAAACTACTTCTCATCTCCCTGTTTTCACTGCTCAAGCCAACAAGTTCCACTGGCTACCCCACGCTACCAACCACCAACCTCACAAGCCTGACATTCTGCTTCCCTGACCTCTTCCTTCTAACTTACTTTTCTACCTAGAGCCTTTCTCTCTCCGTAGTTACTGGCTAGGGGTCTGACTGCTTAGTGTCCATGTCCTCTGCTGGGGGCACAGGATAAAGGGAGCTGTAGTCATGTGCAATGTGCTGGTGACAAGCCCTCATGCCTCTCACAGTGTAGGCATGCTGTGTTTTTAAAATAAATCCATTGTGAATGGGTTGAACTCCTCTATAAATAGTCTCATGTGCTGATAAACTCCAAAAACAACCTAAAAAGGAAAATAACCTGAAAGGATGGAAAAGGTGGCAGCTATTTACCACCAAGACAACAACAACAACAATAAAAACAGAAATGGGGGCTGAGCATTGTAAGAATGTAGGGTGTGAAATCAGTATGAAAAAGATCCAGAGTTTTCTTCAAAGGCAGGGAGGGCCAGGCAGCAAGTACGCAGAGATTGGAGAAGGTGGAGGGAAAGAGTGTGGTGTGAAAAAGAGGAGAGCATCTAGGACTAACCCCATTCAGCACAACTGAAGGGAAAACACAAATACCCAGAAACTGAAACATAAACAAGATGTAGTATACCTACACAATGGAATATTATGAAGCCCAAAAGAGAAATTCTAACACACGACACAAATAGATAAGCCATGAAGGCTCCATCTATATAAGATCTATAAAATATGCTCATTTAAGGATACTGAATTTACATTAGTAATTAACCTGAGGAGGAAGAAATGAAGACTGCTTGATAGATATGGGGTTGAGGTAACAATCGCTAATGGCTAAACAGCACTGTGAATTTACGAAGTGCTACTGAACTATATATTCCAAAATGTTATGTAATGTGTGTTTTGCCACGATAATAAAAGCAAAGTTGATAAAAGACATAAATGATTATGTTCAACTTCTCCAATTGTTTACTGTGTCAAAAGTCAGGAAGGGTAGGTGACGATACAGGCTGAGTGTGAGTATCAAACCCCGGGACCTTTAGAAAAGAGAATTAATAGTCTGCCATGGTCATGAGAGACAAACAGGTCACACCTTGCCATGGTAGTCATGCCTGTCCACTGGAGTAAAGTACAACTGGAAACCAGTCACAACGTGGGGAGCTCAGAGAAGAGTGTCTCTTGTGGCCAAGAGTTCTAAGGTGGAGTGAGGAGGAGAAGGCTGACCATCTAAGGCTCATGACTATGTCACAGCATTTTGTAAAAAGAAGAGATCTGTCAAAGTAAAGCAACAGTCCTGGAATAAACAGTACCTGAGATATAGCATCAGAAAAGAGCACAGCTCTGAGAACCACTTCAACTCTGCTTGCATGATTCAAGAGCCCATAGCCATCCGGCTGCGGGGTTATTGGTTTCCCCCTTTTCATCTTTGTACACTTAGATTACTATGAGGGATGTAGAGATGACTCAGTGGCTACGAGTACCTGTTGCTATTGCAGAGGACCTCGGTTCACGCTCCAAACAAATGGCTCATGACCACCTGTGACTCCAGCTCCAGGGACTCCAGTGCCCTATTTTGTCCTCTGTGGGAATCAGGCATGTACATGGTGCACGCACATTCATACAGGCAAATTTTATACATATAAAATAAAAATAAATCCTTTTTAAAAATTACAGTGAACACTTTATCTCTTTAAAACAGCAAACCGATTTCCATTTCAGTGTTTCAGAATTCAGGAGAATGCTACCTAGAAAGAGATCTGATGGGAGGGCCATGGGAATGAATGCATAATAAAGTACCTTACCTATAGACAGCCAGGTCCAGGATGATCTGGTTGTGTTTCTCATCATCTTTCAAAGAGAAATCAAGTCTATAAAGGACACATCATGGGAGGTATGGCTTTAGTACGTTGTAAAGATAACCCAAACATATAATCGAAAGTAAATGACAACTGTATATAAAAATCCTCGAAGCCAAACATACTTTGCTAATTAGACAATAAGACATCTACGTTAATTTAGAAAAATCTAAGAAGCCTGGGTGGCCTATGGGCAGATTGCTCTTGCTGATTTTGTTTGACATGTGGGTTTTAAAGGTAAATCATATGCAAAGCACTTGCTGGGGTTTGGTGCAGAGATGGAGACACCTGGTGGCCGAAGTGCTCTTTTCCATTCAGTTTGAGTTTGCTAGAACCCAACTAGACTATGGCTGTCCTTTTGGGGACATAAATGCTGGTCCTGCTTGCTGTGCTCCCGATACCCCACCCCTCAAGTCCCTGGCAGTCTTCCTTATTTTTCCTTACCACATCGTCTCATTCCTTTTCATGTTGCCATCTTTTGGTCCTGAGACAGTGAGCAACTTATGACATCTATTTTATAGCTAAAGAAACAGAGGTTCATGGAGGTAGAGATGTTCAGAGAAAAGGCATGGGGACCTGGATAGGCAAGAGCCAAAGCCCCTGACTCTTCAGCTATACTCCCTGGCTGAGTCCTAAGTATAACTGCCACACTGGCAGCATATTTTGTGGAATTACTTGGTCAGTTTCATTTTGAGCAACTCACTTACTAAACTGTAATCAGTATAAGGCAACAACATTAAAAAATAGACACAAATTGTTTGGAAAATACAAATTAATCTCTAATTTTGGCTATTTTTTCAGGTCTGCTGTGGCAAGGACTCTTGTCATTCCCAAGGCTAAACACACAGGCTTCTTCAGGGTCTGATATAAGCCCTGTACTCATCTCCTGGGAGCCTTCTGTGCGCTGTGCTCTGTGCTTTGATACCTTATCTATAGCCAGTTAATCTGAACTCTCTTCCTCTGTAACTTAAAACCAGTTTTAGAGGATTTTTATTTTTGTTTCCTATTGTTGAGGATCACTAGAAAAGTCCCTACAATTTTCCTTTTATCTCTAGTAATAGAACCCCACAAAACACATGCTACACAGAATAAAGAGCCCATTTTCTATCCTCCCTTGATCCAAGGTTAGAACATATGAAAGAATGTGTTGTGGGCACTTCCCAGCAATTTCTCTTAAGAAACAATGTGTGTGTGTCCTTTCCTGGCTCCTTTATTCAGCCGAGAATAACAGATCACGCTAACACACGAATGGCGGAGATTATTTATTAAGCTGCTGCGATCGTCTAGGCAAAAGGCAGCCTCGACCCACTCTGAGATGGAAGTGAAGGAGCTGATGCACAGATGGACGCTGGTACTTTGGGAAGAAAAGTAGATGGTGATCACTGATAAAAGGCCAGGAGAGGAGAGTCGGGAATCAAGAGATTCGCGCTTTAGCATCAATGAGTGGATAATTGTAACCAAGATGGAGACGGTGGGAGGCAATCACGGTGGAGAGGTGAGAGCAGTAAACAGCGGCAGAGAAAACAGTTGTCCTTTCTCAGTCATGTATACCAACAAACTGATGCCACCTAGCTGACTGGATACTGAAGCCTTGAACACAGGGCAGAGGCAGGAACTTGTCCTGCAGTCTGAACCCTGTGAAGCTACAGGGTATATTTTTTAATTATTTATTTTTGTCACATTTAAATTTGTTTCATATGTGATATATTTTGATTATATTCTTTTCTCTCCCACTAAGTCCCCCCAGATCCTCTCCACCTCCCTGTCTACCCAAAATCATGTTCTTTTTCTCTATCTCAAACAAAACAAAACAGACTAAAAATAATAACAACAACAAAAGCATGGAGTCCATTATGTGTTGGCTACTATTCCTGAGCATGGGACCTGTCCTGCGGTGAGGTTGATAGAGCCAGTGTCACTCCATTGGAGAAGACTGACTTTCCCAGCAGACATCAATGGCAAGTAGCTTCATGATTCGGGAAGCTTTGCCCACTTTCCCTTCTTAGTGCTGGAAAAAGCCACAGGATTTGATGAAGTCCTGGCCCAGAAAACATGACAAAAATAAAGAAGGAGAGCAGCTGAGAAACTTCCTCTAGAGCTCACAGAAGCAGGAGGTCCATCCAAGGATAAGAGCAAGAAGAGCCCACTTTCACAAGGAAGGGGATGCCCTGCTGGATCCAAATTCCCGAGACAGAATACGATGGGGGCTGGGCTTTGAATGCTCACCGTGCAATGATGGGACGATGAAAGTTTTCAGATAATGCAGTATTCAGAGGTGGCTTTAAGAAGAAACACAAAGAGCTGTGTGGTGGTGGCACATGCCTTTAATTCCAGCACTTGGAAGGCAGAGGCAGGTGGAGCTCAGTGAATTCAAGGCCAGCCTGGCCTACAAAGTGAGTTCCAGGACAGCCAGGGCTACATAGAGAAACCATGTCTGGAAAAAACACAAACAGGGAGAAGAAACCTAAGCAAAATGTCAGAGACTGGGTACTGACAAGTCTGCTAAGAAATTTGGCTACTGCTTGGGTCAGAGGAGCTCACAGGCCCTGGGGGAGAGGAGGTGCTGTTTTTGTTAAAGTTCCTGAAGCCTGCCTGTTTGCTGGTGCCATTGGTCCGGTAGAGAGGGGTGCTGCCGGAGAGCAGGGGTTGCTGAGAAGCTAAGCCTTGGATGGTAGGAGACAAAAATCCTGAATCAGTGAGTCAGCAAGGGGGCTGAGTCTGAGAACAGATCCAGCCACCACAGAAGAATAGTGTCTACCACAGAAACAGAAGATGCCTGGTTGATTTCGTTTTTTCGGTGAAGAAACAAGGTCTTTGGTTAAGCCTATGGGAACATAAGGCAGTGTTGGAGAGGAGGAGGAGAAGGAGATGTGAACACTGCCTGTGAGCCACTGAGAGAACGCTTTTCAGGACAGTACAGGGCAAACACAGTTGACTTAGGACCTGTGGCCTCTCAACTGCACAGCGAGCAACAGGTAAAGGTGGATACCTCACTCCATGCACACTGAGCAGGAGGAATGCTCAAGATTAAGCAGTGCCTGGATTTGCGAGTTGGTGATGATGAACAGAGAGAGAGAGAGAGGGGACTGAGGATGAATTTCTGTGAGGGATATAAATACTAAATCAGGAAGAGAACACAGTGTCGGGACCGTAAGCACAGCTAGAGTGTGTGTAGGTTCCTGCATGAATGGCGCCTGTGGTTGCCGGGTGGGAGGGAGTCTGTGACACCAGAGATGATGTTCGGTGAATTGATGAGGTTACGGCTCAGGACATGGGCTATTGATGGCAGCAACTAGAGAAACAAAATCAGGATCCTGTGGCTGAACTGAGGGGAGACAAAATATGTCAAAAGTCACCAGGACTGAGAATAGGGTTGATAAAGCAGAGAAATGGGGATCAAAGTGTTAAGATCTTCCATGAACAGAGAGGGCAGGTTGGGGACTGACTTGGGTTATGCAGAAGACAAGAAGAAGAAGGGATGGACATTCAACAGGGGCTGGGAGATTTTAGGGAAAGGGAGTTGGATAGACTGAATCTTACCTGAGGTGTGTAGAGAGAAAGAATAGGATCAATGATGGAAGCAGAAACACTGACCTTAGTCCCTGGACAAAGATATGCAACACCCGAAGGAGGAAATGATGCTGGTGATGAGTCTGTAAGATCTAGAAAGGGTAGGTGGATGGTAGACAGGAACAGGAGGGGAGGGAATAGGGATAGACATAAGGGGATATAATTCTGATGAGGACAGACAACCTGGTACATGAAGGAGGAGAGATGTTCAAGGAATCCAGGGACTAGGGGCAGTAAGGAGTAATTTCTTCATAGAGGCTTCTCAAGAGAAGTGGTTTTAGGACAGGTAGGGTAGTTAGTGTGGGAGATAGGACTGGGTGCTCTGTCCAGGAAAATGTAAGGCTCTGAGGGTCTTCCTTCTTCCCCGTCAGGCTGGAGACAGAGCAGCTCCTGTCCCGCACTCTCCCACACCAGCAGTACCTAGCCTAGAGTCAGGAGCTGCATTCTTATCTGCGGGATGAAGAGAAGACATGCTACGCGGAAGACTATAGACTCGATCGTGGAAACCATCACAGTGTGTACAAGGCCGAGGCATCAGCTTCATAACTGTGTGACTTGGGCCATATCGCTGGCTAAGGAGATGTTATTCTGTGTCCCAAACATGCTTTCTGTGGAGATGAGCAATGCCTGGGAGGACTCGAGATTGTCTTTGTTGTGGTAATGGCATCCAAATGAAATGATGGCAATAAATGGGTTTTGAGTAATGAAATGAAGCTAATGAGATTTAGCCCATAGGCTTGTTATCTGCATTGTGACTGTAAAAGGCACTGTGGGTATGCTCTCTAGTTATCAGCTTTCAGACAGACAGACAGGCAGACAGAATAGCTCAGGTATTCTGAGACTTGAGGCTTTCCAGGTTTTTCTCTCTCCTTGACTGAGGTATTTCTAGCACTGCCTTTCACTAGCTTTTGAATGCTCTGTAGATGTGTTCCAAGGAAAATGTAGACATAAAGGAGATGCCTTGGTGTTCTCAGACAGATTGCCTTGTGACAGAGTCTCAAAAATTCGTAAACACAACAATGACGCAGTGACAGTTTTCAGGCATAAAACTGTACATGGTCCAGGATTTCATGGGATGCAGAAAGAACTAAGATTCCCATATGTCAGGACTGTTTTCTAGAAACCAAGAGAATTATGTGCTAGAAATAATCAGAGATATCTAGCTTCTATCCATACACAAAATGACATTCTGTTACCCCCATCAAACTTATTCACAGTGGTCAACATGCTCTCGTCAGAGGAAGCCTGTCATGGAGGCCACAGCAGTGTGCATGCACCAGTGCGACCCTCAGTATCTCCACCTGTCTTTACGTACTTGGCTTCATTGACATTCAGGACCTTCCCATCTTCAGTGACCAAAGTCCGGGGTGGTTTCACTTTCTTCTTATTTCCACTTAAGGTTACGGGTGACGGGAGAGACCGGAGGCAGGAGTGGTCAGGAAACACAAAATGAGTATGAGTATAAAAATTACTAATGCATCTTTGTGATATACTTTAAGAAACTTAATAAGGTATTTATTATTATATCTGCAATTCACTTAAGACTTTGTCCTCTTAATCCTATACTGCTAGTTAAAAACCAAGCCAAATTTTACGTGGTTATAGCTATATCTCCAAAGCAAAACTGTGACCAAGACAATTTGCCAGGGAATTTGAATTGGGGAAGTAAATTCCCTTTCATGAAATATTCATGAATATTTAAATGAGTCTATTTTATGCATGATTTACCCAGATAACTGTCAATTCTCCACGTGTGTGTATGCAACTTCTGCTTTAGTTAAAATGACAGTTTTTGAAATGCAAGTGAAAACTATCCTGTGGAGATAAAGATACCAGTACATAAGGAATGTGTTACCTGACACTTCTCCCAGCATCATTTCCAGGGGCAAGTCCCGAACTGCTCAGAATGTCTATCAACACTGGACTGATTGGCTCTACTGTGGTGCAGAACATCGAGCAGCACCTCACAGCTGTTAAAAATGTGTCTGCTCCTTACACACTGATGAAGAAAACTGCTGATGACGTATTCAGCAGCAAATATACATACACCACAGAAGTTTACTTTTTTGTGTGGAGCTGTGGATTACATCAAGGGGTGCATACAAGCCAGGAAAGTGCTGGACCACTGAGCTAGGCTGAAGACCACTCTTTATCCGACTCAGACCACACTATAGGTTGATCTACACACAGGTTAGAGGTGATTCACACAGTTGCAGGGAGAGGAAAAAGCAGGGTGCTACCAATCCACACTTGGTCACTCTTACTATGCTGAATGGCAGTGTAGGAGAAGCAAAAAGTTAGCACATGTTTTTCTTTACAGAAATAACATTTGAATAAGTAAATGGGCATAGGTGGTCACAAGGAAGGATGATATAACCACAGGTAATCATGTGCCTTGAATTGTTACTGTCTTTTAATAGAGATTTTGTGTTATCTGACTTTATTGTTCTAATATCACATTCTTTTGCACAATAACAGAGTGTCCTGATCTGATCCAGCTATTTTAGTGAGTTGGGTCAAAAAACGGAGCCAAAAACACCAAGCTTCACTATTATCAGCACAGGCAAGAGTTCAGGTAGGACAAAAGGCACACCTGTGTTCTTGCTTTCTCACAGCTAATGAAAATGCTTGTGTATTTAAAAAGGCAGGCACATCTCAGAGACTAAACAGGGTGACTGAGACCTCCATCCAAATACGTTGTATTTTTTTAAGTATTAGGAAGAAAAAAACCTTCTTGGTTTTCTAGATTGCTCTAGATTTAGTGTAATATAAATTATTTATTCCATATATATTCAATATAAATAATGCATACACAATCAAAACATATTCAGGTACATATGTTAAGAATACTGTTAGTCTACAAACATGCAGAATTTATATTTCAAAGGGCTCCTAAATCTGTATAAAATCTTTGTGTTTAACTGGCTCATCTGCTTTTCTCAAAAAAAATATATATATATAGTGGAGTGTTAAAACAGGTCATATGTTCTGCTTAACATAGTAGGACCAGATGAAAAGTTAGGTACTCGCAAGCATGACAGCAGGTGGTGGGGTCAGGACATGGATGCTCATTTTCTGATGCGGCCCTCCTGCTCTTCTCAAAGCAGTATGTGGCTTTAAACAAATCACTACATTTTGCATCTTCCTATCTCTCCAAATAGTGAAGAGCATTGCACGAACGCAGGAGAGATTTTTAGGAGTCTTCCTACTCAGATTCTTGTTTTCCATTGACAATCATAGAAAAAAAAATGGTTTTTTTTCCCACTTCATTGCCATGCAGACAACTATTTCAGAGATTATTGATGACATTCTCAAGCTCACAGATTCCAAGTATCCCTGTCAGTGATATATTTTACATACTAGATTTCAGTATTGCCATGGAGTGGAAGGAAACAGAGCCTGTTTATGAAAAGGTGCAGTTGACAAAAGAATTGCTTATGGATCCTAGAAATAAAGAAGTAGTGAAGTTACATCCAAACTCTTGGAAGTGGCACCGCACTGTGAAATGTCCGGGAGAGCTGCACCATGAGAACGAAAAGCTTAATGATTCTAATTCTAATGCTTCATTCAAATTAACAGAACAGACTTAAAGAATTTCATTCACCCCACAAAATAATCTTTTCCTTTGAGCCATACGCAGTATTTTTAACTGAAGCCAAGCTATTTCTAGATATACAAACAGCAGATTAAAAAAGGAAACTCCACCTAAAATGGCAGAAATCCATGATGTTCTAAACTTGGATTTTTATGTTAATAGAAGGTAACAAATAAAATTTAAGAAAAATAATCTACATTTGGAAAAGGCAAGATTCATGGGTGATGGTTAGTAATGGTTTGGCGCAGACAGCACGTGAGGCATCTACATTGTGAACACACAGTCCATCAGAGAGGGCTGTCTGGTTCATTCATAGGAAAATGGAATACCTTAATTTTTCTTGGGCTTTACGTTGTTTTTCCATGTGTCTAAGAGTTTCCAATCTAGATTCAGGAGTGAACAAAGAGGGTTTGTTCCAGAATGCCAGGTCATCTTCACTTTCATCTGATTTCTTTGTGATGTGTTCCTTTTCTTGTGTTTCTGGTACCTGGAGATGGTCTTTGTCCTCTATGGAAGATGGGCTGGACAAAGCAAATAGAGCCAGAGCATGTAAGGCCAAGAATGGACGTAGGAGCTTCAACTTTAATGCTTCCTCTTATGATTTTCCTCAGTTAACTTCCTATCTGTGAATGACAAATGACCTTAGGAGTCCACATTAGCTAAATTGAAGGAAATTATTGCCTTATCATGAAGGCAGACCCTCATCTTCTGTCTTTAGAATAGCGCAGTATCTAGTTCAAATGTGCATATGCCTAGTTAATGTGAGTTGGCTGGGAAGCTTTATAAATAATAGAGATTTCTGAGCTCTCATTAGATTAGGGGCTCCTGGGTCTTTGTGGAATCTTGCAGGAGGTTCTGATGACCAGCTGGGCATGGAGCTCGCTGAGCCTTTGTGATTTCCCCACATCCAGCCCTATCCCTGTCACACCGCCCACTCTCCACATTGTTCCTAGTTCTGGATCTAATTGACAATTTGATCATTTGACGTCCAGGTTCTTCAGCAACCTCCCCCTCTAAACCCTTTCAGGAGACGCGAGGAACTCTCCTGCTATGCCCTCCAGTCTATTCATGGTTAACTTCTGATTATGATGCTGCATACATCAGCCGTTCTTTGTTCTCTCCTTTATTCTGTTTTGTGTATTGTCTGGGAATTAAATGATCTCTCCATGTAATTGAATGAGATTACACTGATATTACATTTGCTCAACATGAATTCAAGACATTTACTGTGCCAGAATCCTGGGCAAGATAGACCAAAAGACCACTTTCAGCACACGGTTCTGTTCTAGTAGAGAGAAAATGATACCAGTGAACAGCAAACGCTGGGAAAGGACTCTCTCCCCTCAAAACGCCCTAGAATACACTCTGTTAAAAAAATGGTATTCAATGTAAACTTATTTGAAGCTTTAAGTTCATTATTCATTAGGTTTTGGAGTTGCTAAAGTGGTTATAAAAAAAAAAAGAGTCAGAGACAGCCCCTGTTCCTGCTATTAGGAGTCCCATAAGAGGACCGAGCTACACAACTGTAACATATACACAGAACAACTAGGTCAATCTCATGCAGACTCCCTGGTTGTTGGTTAAGTCACTGTGAGCTCCTAACCCTAGGACAGACGACTGTGAGCCTTCCCATAGTGTCCTTGACCCTTCTGGCTCCTAAACCCCTTTCTCCTCCTCTTCCCCAGGACTCTCAAACTCTACCTAATGTTCAACTGTGGGTCTCTGCATATCCATCCCATCATCAGTTTGATGCCTGCCTAATGACAATCGGACCAGGCACCAATCTGGTCACAGGAGATGGCCAGTTCAGGCTACATATCTGTTACTGTGACTCTTCTACTGGCTTTGGGATCCTACTTCTCATACTGGGTCACCTTGCCCAGCCTTAATGCTTGGGGAGGTGCTCAGTCATACTAAAACTTGATATGCCATGCTTTGTTGATACTCATAGGAGACCTGCTTTTTCCTGGATGGAGACAGAAGAGGAGGGGATGGGTGTGGGAGGGGGAATGGAGGAGAGGAACTGAGAGGGGTGGATCGGGTGGGGGAGGCTGCAGTTAGGATGGAAAATAAATAGATGAATAAAAAATGGTTAAAAGAAATCCTCTACTTACGAAAAGCCAATACCACTATTCTTCTAAATGAACAGAGCACCAAGTGACTCCTTCTGACTTGTTGTCCATAGGTCACTGCACTGCTCTCCCAACATCAGAGAAGCTTCTTGCAGCAGACCCACAACTAGACCGTGTGCAGAGAGTGAGAGATTTTTAGAGCACTCAGAGTTAAATGGGATGTCTTATCAAATTCCTCCCTCAAGGCTCAGGGTCTATATGGAATGGTGAGACAGAAAGATTTTGAGGGCCTGAGGTGATAAATGACTCCAAGGAGACAGTGTCTTCCATACTCGTGAAGACTGATGAACACAGAAACTCATAGCAACTTTGAAAGCAAGCACAGACCTGCACAGTTTCAAGCCAGACAAAATCAGCACTGAAAAGGGGAAGTGAACACACAGTCCCACCCCTAGCCAAGATGCCTGTTTGCAATTGGCAGCTGTTGGAGAAGGAAACTCTGTTTTCTCCAATGGGGTGTCACTGAAGGAAACAATTCAAATCACTGAGAGGAAGTGCTTTGCCCTAGAGCTAAAGTGTGGTATATTAACCAAACTCCAGGGCAGGCTGCGAGCCTCATACAGTTGGTCAACACAAGTCAGACTCTGTGGTGTGGTATGTGTGTGGTATGTTGTGGTGTGTGTGTGTGTGTGTGTGTGTGTGTGTGTGTGTGTGTGTCTGTGTGTGTCTGTGTGTGTGCGACACACTTATGCACTTTTTTGTTTGTTTGTTCGGTGTCTTTTAAGAAAGAGTGAGAACACGAAGTGGGTGGGTAGAGAAAGAGGAAGATCTCAGAGGAGTGAATTAAGAATCAAACATATTAAATGAAATTCTCAATAAAGAAATAAAATATAGAAAAGATTTTTTTAAAAAAGCCAGTAGAATCATTAGCTAAGTGACTTAAGTCTTCAAAATTGAATCAGATCCAAATGTAGGTAGCTGGTGCTAAAGTGTCGGGGCTCTCCAGAGAATGAACACAGTTCCATCCTCAGCACTGCTTTCAAGTCCCTCTTTTGTCCCTCTTTCTACCTACCTGTCAGCAGAACCTACCATCACTGCTGAAGGATAAACTGAATTCAGCTAAGACTCACTTCCAGGCCTTAAAATATCTACAGTTTAAATAAAACTCAAGACTTCCATCTAAGCTGAGGCCCCTTACTCCCTCTCCAAGTTCCGGTCTGGCTTGGCCCAGCTCACAGTTGGTTTTGCCTGGGAGATGCGTGGTCTCCTTCCATCTCCTGCCTCATCTGTTGTTCAGCTCTGTGCTCGTCATTATGCCTGGTTAGATTCTCCAGCCCATGTCTGCCTGGGAGGATGGGAAGGAGAGGTAGGTGGTGGTCATGCCCACTTGACCATTGCTCCCGTAACCTTGCTGGTGCTGCCTCTGTCCAGACAATGACTTCTCTTTCCTGGGGTATCTTGGACATTTTCAGAGACACCATAAGAGTTCTCCAACCACACTGCTCCCTGCTGAGGTAGTCAGAATACTTGGTTGACCCTTCTGGGACAACTCCTGAATGTCTGACCCTGACAATTCAGGTCACAGACTCTTATTGTGGCCATTCTCTTGGTGGTATCCCTTCAGAACACCTCAAGCCTGATTCCTCTTAAAATCAATACTTTCTTTGCCTGTAAGAGAGTCCCAGGTCAGTACCATGGGAGATGCTGGCAGTACCCCTTCCATGGTCACTGTGCTCTAGGCTGTTGCAACTCACTACCCATCTTTCCCACTCGCCATTAAGCAGAGAGGGGAGACGTTCGCTTGCCCTCCCTGTAGACCCTGAATCTCAGTGATTTTTTTTTCTGAAACATTTGGGGAGGCACTTACTTTTCCTCTCCATCTAAACCAATGACTCAATAGGTCAGCAGGTTCCCTACCTAGCCTGCATCATTGAGGGCTTGAGTACAGATAGACAGACGTCATGTCAAGAAGGATTTCATAAGCATGATAAAAAAGTACCAAAATAACATTAACTACATTAAGATATTTTTTAGAGAGATGTCACTGCATAGCTCTGGCTGGCCTGGAACTCACAAAGATTTGCCTGCCTCTGCTTCCCAAAACTGGTGATAAAGGAGTGAGCCACCACACCCAGTTACATTAAAATATATGCCAAGTATGTGCAGGCTTCAAGGCAGCAGACACCACTGAGGATGAAGAGGGGCACAGACCAGAATACTCAGTAAGCTTTTAATGCTTTCATGGCATTTCATTTTTTTCTAAAAGATTCATTACAAGCATACAAATGACTATGACAATTCTGCCTGGGTGGTGGAACAATAGCTTCTTGCTTATATTGTTTATAAAGCACTTGTATACATCTGAAATACTTTAAAATTACTATTTTCTCAATTTTAAGAAATATCTAATACTTTCTTATGTAGAACTGAATCAAGTGACTATAATTATGATCACGTAAGATAAATACCATGAAAAATTCAGATCCATACACAAGATCAATTAGAGGGTTATTAATCACATTTTAAAATGCATTCACTATATAATTCACAAAATAGGATGTTTTATGATGCAATCAAAATTATTCATTATATAATTGTGTGATTTGCATTTAACTTTCTAAACTATTCCTGCCTTAGAAATCAAGGTACACCTGTTAATTCATCTTCCCTGTACATGTTTAGAGAGATTTCTTTTGGTATAATTTCAGATGCAAATGCAAGTTGCTGGTTGGGAAAAGCAATTTTTCTAAGAAAAGAAATCCTACTAGACTCATCATCATGGGATACTCATGATACCTGCCCCCTTGCCATATTATGTCCTGGGTAATAGATGCTGTGAACACTTTCGGGAGGGAATACTGCTTCTGTTTTGATGGGAGTTAACAAGAAAACAAAACACTGATCTACGCACCAAGCAGCATGAATGTCTGTGTACCAATGCCCGTCAAAACCTGGGCAGCTTTTCTTCTTGTCTTCTTCTTCCTCGAGTTTCCTCTGAGCCTCCTCTTTCTCTTTGGCCCGTCTAAGGCAGTAAGCTTTCTCTTGTTCTCTGATTTGCTGTTCAACTGCTGGATAGTCCTGTAATGCCTGGATCCTTTCGGAACGCTCTATTTCTTTCCCATCCAACCACTTAAACAAAAAGCAACACAAAGTACAATTATTCAATTCAGCCAAGCAAAATTATTCATGCCTGTAATACTAGCACTCAGGTGACTGAGGCAGGAAGACTTCCAGGAGTTCAAGGGCAGACTACGCCAACTTGCAAAGGTAGGAAGGAAAGGGGCGGGGAGAAAGAAATGGAAAAAAGGAGGGAAGATGGGAACGATCAGCCCCAAGTTTATGTTGATTGATATATTTTTAAATTAGAAATAATGCTGCCAAAGCAACAGAAAATTAAAACAAAGTAATCAATGAGAAATATCAGAAATAGTTGTCTAAATCAATGCTTATTTCATACAAGTAATAAAGTTTACAAAGCACCATTACTGGAAATAAGTGGGTCTTCTGTCAAAATAATTAATGACAAGCTCTCAAAATATTTCTATCAATTTCATAACTGCTCACTATATTAAGGGTGTTGATGCTTAAAGCAAGTCACAGCTCCTGTAACAACGGCATTCTACAAGTTTCTTCATAGAAAGGACCCTAGACAAGATCAAGTGCCACCCTGGAGGACGTTCACAAAGTGGTCTTTGTTGTATACAGTGTTTACACGATATGTATATAAATTTTCCAAATTAAAATGTGTACATAGAAGGTGAGATGGTGGCTCAGTAAGTCAATTGCTTGCTGTGCAAGCATAAGGACTGTGCTCTATCCCTCGTACCCAGGTAAAAAGCCAGGCATGGAGGTGCACACATGTAATTCCAGAGCAGTGGAGGTAAACACAGGTAAGGCTCTGGGACTTTGGTCAACTAGCCTACCCTAATTGGTGAGCCCTGTAAAAACTGTATAAAAACAAACAACAAATGGTATACAAGGTGACTCTTTAGGAGGAATCATACCTGAAGTAATGCTCTGCACTCTACCTACATATACATACAATCCCAATATGTATCCATGCCCCCCACATGAACACACAAGCACGTACATACATGCATGCCCCACCCAAAAAATACACAAGCAAATGGTAAAAAAAACATGCCAACTAAAATACAAAAAGTCAAAGCTTCCAGTTCAAAGAGATCTGTTATTATCCCAGCCTCATTCTGCAGAAAGAGGTAGGGATTTAGATTGCTGCACTTCGCTGACAATGGTTCCCCTTGGTGCCTGTGATCTAGTCACTGTGAATGTCACCACACCTGGTCAAAAGGACTTCGATGTGATGTAGTTAATGATCTTCAGCGAGCAGCTGGATTACTATCGGATTACAGAGAGCCTATAAGTAGGAAAGTTGGAAGTACATGTACAAGCCTCAGAGTTACAGAAGTAGGTGAAGACAGAGAGAGGACTTGAACTTGTTAATTCCATAGTCAGACTAGTTCCTGGACCCATTTGCCTACTCACATTTACATATTTAAAATGTGCAGAATACTGAATTCCTTTCAAAACTTCACCTCCTTTTTAAAGCCATTCTTGACCATTTTTTAAAAAGGTGTATCTCTCTTCTTGTGTGTGAAGAGAAGTCATGCATCATTAAACTTCATTATATAAAACTAAAAAGAAAGGAAAGAAAGAAGGAAGAAAGGAAGGAAGGAAGGAAAGAAGGAAGGAAGGAAGGAAAGAAAGAAAGAAAGAAAGAAAGAAAGAAAGAAAGAAAGAAAGAAAGAAAAAGTAGCCATAAACCTAAAGATACAGTCGCCCTCTAGAGGTGGCAAACAGCAAGGCACATGTTTTTCCCTATGACTAAGCGACCTTTCAACACCTAGATTTCTACACCTACATTTCACATTTCAAACCCTCTGAAGCCTAAGGTGAATTTGTCTAGCTTTAAGGCTTTAAATTTGTGTTAATCCACTGAAATAGGAATTGAAAACCAGCACAAAGTGAATTTAAAGAAAGATAAATTTAATGAAGTATAAAATTGCCAACTATTAGGATAAGTCATAGTATACATTAAAATGATATTGAAGAGATGAGGAAGCATGTTTTCATGAGACTCACACAGCTGCTATGCATAGACTAGAGATTTCATTTTAAGCTTCCTGGCAGTCAGAGTAAAAGAGGAAAACATTATTAGTCAGATGTTTGATTCTTTTCACTCTCTTGACTTTTAAAATATATTAATTTCTGGCTTTCATCTAATATCTGGCTTTAAAACAAATCTTTAAAGGGGAGTGTCATAATGGAGATCAGGAGAAATGTTACATACTATCTGCAGAGAGATACATAGCAGAGTTCCAGACTTTCAAAGGCTCTTTGTTTAGTCCTTGAAGACTGAGGCATGGTGACGACACCTCCTGTTGAAGCTATCACTTAAGGTAATAACTGCAGTGCACTTTTTAAAAGCAACTCAGTTCAAGCTTGAGTTAAGGTCTAATCAAGCTGGAAAATTCTGAATGAAATATATTCATGACACAACAAGTAAAATAAATCTCTGCAATAAGCACAATATGTAAATTTGCAAGTAAATATTAGCATGTGTATGTAAATGAGACCATAAAATATTAACATAAATATGGATTGGACATTATTGTATTAGATTGGGAGATTCCAGTTAAAAAGAATTTTTTAACCCAGGATTCTGATGAACTTTGGGAAGCAAGGTGCTGTTCTTGGTGGTGTCTGGAGCATATTTGCCTATTTGATTCATAATGTCTTCACAAATGTTTTAAATTTGTATTTAATCACATGTACTGTTCCTAAGAACATGAAAAAAGACCCATCTATCACCTTCCAGACTAGAGAGCTCACACAGAGAAGTGGCTTTTCATTTGGCCCTGTGCCCAGCACCTATCATAGGGACCACATTTATTTGAAGATTTCTGTGAGGCACTGTCTAAACTTCCCCCACATATTTTCCAAGTCTGAACAACCCCTTCTGAGCAAGGCAGGCCCAGAGAAGCAAAGGCAGTGGAAGCTTTAGCATTTCCTGACCTTCCTCCAGGCAGGGTTCCTGCACCTGGAGAAGCAGGGTGTTCAAACTTGGTGATGATAACCTTGCATGGGTCCACACTTATTGATAACTGTACATGGTATCCATGTTTGCTGGTGATAATTGTCATGGGTACACACTAATGGTAACCATGCATGAATATGCACTTACTATTGATAACTTCATGGGCCCATGCTTACTGGTGATAACTGTCATGGGCTCAAACTGATGGTAACCATGCGTGGATATGCAGTTACTGGCTATAATTTCATTAGACCATACTTACTGGTGATAACTGTCATGGGTCCACACTAATGGTAACCATGAATAGATACGCACTTACTAGTGATAATTTCCTTGGTCCAGGCTGACTGGTGATAATTGTGCATGGGTCACTACAGAGGAAAGCAAATGGGGCTTCACTAAAGTACCCTAAAGGAACAATCAACATCCAGCTAGAGATGAGTAAAATAAAAAAGGATCTGCAGCTCACAGGTTGGATATAAGTAACACCATGCTGTGTGCTATCATGGTCAGTCCTCACTGACTACCTGGAGTGATGCAGACTTCAGGAAACCCTGTAAATGGTTGGGTCTCCTCACATATTCTCTGTTCTTGGAGGCTGAGTTAAAGTTCTAACTCCAGGACCACAAAAATTGACTATTTGGACATAGGAACAGTATAGGTATGATTCATTTGGGGAAAAAATGGAGTAATCTCATAAAACTGGTGTATTTACAAGAAAAATTTCATGTGAAGGAACAGAGGTCTAAGAACAGTGTGACATGATGAAGGCAGAGGTCAGAGTGACAAATGTACAGACAAAGAATGCCAAGCAGTACCAGCCAGACCTGCTGGGTAGGAGATAGGCATGGAGTCTCATCATCAAGAACCTAAGAAGGACCCAACTCAGTCTAATTTTCTATAACTTTATTGGACCATTTGTTCTCCCGAGCTATGGGATAAGCGGTTTCTGTCATTTAAGCCACAGATAGTCGGTGCTTTTCTCACCGCAGTCCTAGCAAATTAACACATTTGCCGCCACCACTCCTTTCAAACACACCTCACAGACCCTCGACGACACTGTGACTAAGATTGGAAAGTGCACTGCTCTGTTTCTAAACATCGGTAAACACATTTCCTAAAACTATTTTTCCACAAGCACCAGTGGCCTTGTGTGGAGGCTGAGTGAGTGCAGCCTGCTGAAAGACTAGTGGCTGACATAACTGGGAGAGCAGCAGTGGGCATGTGAATGGTGGACAGCGGGGGTCCAGCGTCAGACACAGGGACGAGCAGAGCCCTCCTGTTCCATTTCTCAGGAGTGTCAGGCCAAATAGGAAGAACCAATTCTTTGAGCACCAACTTTGCATCACTAATACACTTCACGGTTGAGCCTGGGACCTCAGAGACATAGTGAACAAAGCGCCCTGTACCACTCAGAGCCAAATCCAATACCTAATGATATCTCACAACCTTGACCTGATCACAGGCACACAGACAAGTTCAACTGTAGAGACCATGCAGTCCCAGTCCCTGATCCCTTCAGGTTAGTGACTTTCACATTTAGTCTCCAGGATCCATCTCTAGCATAAGCGGCTTCACTTCATTCCTTTTCTAGGAAGACCTCGTGGGATGATGACCACTTGGCTTATACATTAAAATGATTTATCACTTATTCTAGGTTCAATTATCTGACTTATTTTTATAATCTAAGAAATTTTATATCAGAATAAATGTGTTCTAGACTCTAGCAGTTGTTATGCCCAAATCACAGAGTCCCCCCCCCCAAACCAACTAGGAGACCGAGTCCTGCATGTAAAAGCAAAGAGCCTTTATTCTTGCACAGGTTTGCAAGCTCAGACTCTCCATGTGTCCCACGTATTAGAGTGATCAGAGAGCCCCAAGCTCAGTTAGGGCTAGATTTTTATAGTAGTAAAGGTGGCAGTGAGGGATTTCTAAGAGTCAGGAACCCTGATTGGCCGACGTTTGTCGGGGGGTGTCCTGGTGAAAAGTGATGCATGTGTGCTGGCAGGTGATCCTATCTACAAGGGTTGGAACATTAGGAATTTCCTTTTGATGGTCTTGGTAGACTCAG